ACTGCCACGTATCGTCAGCTGCGTCCTTGCTCAACTCGAGTGATCGCGTGTAACTTTTGCAAAGAAATCGAGACATTGCCAGGTATCAGGTCGAGTGCGAGCAAGCTGCAAGGGCGAATGTATGCGAGATGGATCAACTCACCGGAACCTGTCATGCAGTCTGTTTTCCCTTCCTAACCAAAACTCAATCTCATCTGGGATGACGCGCCAGCCTCCCCAGTATTCGGGCACTGGAATCTTTTTGCCCTCATCTGGCGGAGGCGCACCATGCAGACCAGCCGCACCGGGCACTTCGTACCTGTGCTCCACACTTTGCACCCGCTCCTCCAGCTCCCTTCTACCGCTGATGACCTGACTTTGAGGACTGGCATGCGCGCCGATCCGACTTCCCAAGGGTCGAGTGTCGAAGTAAGCCTGCGATTCCTCCGTACCGAGCTTTTCCGCCTTGCCACACACGCGCACCGATCGATGCAGTGGCTGGTCATAGTAGAAGGTCAAGCTGCACCACGGGTTGCTCTGCAATTCTCTGCTCTTGCGGGAAGAGTAGTTGGTGAAGAAGATGAAGCCGCGCTGATCCAGTGTCTTGAGCAGCACCACTCTAGAGCTGGGTCGAGCATGAGTGATGCCTTGCGAACCCTGCACCAGACTAGCTGTGGAGAGGGTCATGGTTTCGGGAGCCAAAATGTTTGCCTTCTTTGCCTCTTCGAACCACGCGTGGAAGAGAGAGATGGGCGATCGAGGCAGATCGGACTTGGACAGACCAGCATTGTGGTACTGATCGTGCGTCGTTATGGATTCGAGCGGCTTGGCAGATGAGAAATCTTTGCTGGCAGCCGATGAGCTTGACTGACCGCTGGGGGCGCGCTGCTCGCTCGAGCTGAACAGAGCGGGCGGTTGGAAGTCTGTCATCGTCGCCGCCGATCCGATTCGATGTACGGCTTTGCTCGCGGGACTGCGCGAGTCGCTGCGAGACGCGAAGGACGAATGGCTCTTGGCTGTTGCAAGGTGCTGCTCTCGAGCACCTAGTCCAAGGCGGCAGTGCTTTGTGGTTGCCAGGCGTGAGGTGGAGTAGCAGCGGATTGGCAAGCTCATGGAAGGGCTCTGAGAGTCGGTCGTATGTCAGCGTCGAGAGCCGAGCAGTGTAGCATGCATTGAATCAAATGATCATCGACCTAGATGTGAGGCACCATCTCGCCTCTTGGAGGGGTTTGGAGATAGAAGCTATAGCGGGATGATGATGAACGGCGATTCGCTGGCTCAGTCCGAATTACACCTTAGGTACGAGTTGCATGACGTCTTGAGTTTGGTGGAGTAGGTGAGTCATCCTGATCACGTGCACACGGGCCAAGGATAGGTGAGTCGGAAATTCTTCTCGAAGTCAGTTGATTCTATTTTCCCCAAAATCATGTTCACAGCTTTTGCACGCCTTTGTAATGACTCATCCAGGATTCGCATCCACATTCACAAGATTCGTGATTGACAATCGACTACTTGCCACGCGCTTGCTCACATCTTCTCTGTGAGCACGGGGCTGAGCAATTCTTGACCTCGCGCTCAAAGGACGCCAGACCCAAGTTTGGGTGCCAAGGCCTCGATCAATGTCCACTTAGCTCTTCCTTTGAGCTCATTTCCAACCGGCTCTTGCGCTCCCAGACTGTCTGAGCTCTTCCATCGCAAATCAGGCTGAAGAAGGAGTGAGTGGACGAAGCTGACGGCGTGAGCATCAGCGATGCCAAGGAGACTGTAAATGGGGTGCTTCCTTCTCTCGTGATACAGATGCATTTCAACAAAAACAAGCGCAACGATGCCCAGGCGAGTCCAGGGACCAAGTGACATTGACAATCAAGAATGCCCTTCGTCTCACGAGAAAGGCATGGGTGCGAAGCATGAGGCTTATCTGTCGTGCGCGGCTCGAACTGCTTCCTGGATGGTGTGGGCCGCTTCTTCCTTGAGGTCGATGCAAGAAGCTGAGGCAAGAGCTGACGAGCTGAGTTTTGCGCTGTGAGAAAGAGAAAGAGCCCTTCGGACCAAACAGGGGCCACTGGCGCGCCTCAATCAGTTCCTTGAATGCTAGCTAGACAGAGACAGGGGCTCGGCCTGGCGGTTGTCTGAGACGCTAGCTTGGCGCGCAATGTCCCGACTGGGCTGGCGTCACAATGAGCAAGGGGTACGCTCAAGGCGTCCCATGGCGACGGGCTTGGGCCACGGACTGGAGGCAACGAGTGAATCGTTCGTGAACAGATCTCGCCAGACTTTGCCATCTCTGCGCTGCAAGTCGTGGAGCTGATGGGGATTAGGTGAAATGTAGAGAGGGAAAGACGATCTTCTTCCGTCCAATGCTTGCAATGCGCGAGGCTCGATCGCGCTAAAGGGCACTTTGCGTGGCCATACATACAGCACTACCACTAGCCTAGCTGACACTTCTTGATGTGGGGTACATTTCCCCATGGGCCATTATCACTTGACTCGTGACTTTGCTCGCTGTGCTACAGTAGTGTAGCTGTGCAGGATCGTACGAGCGCTCGAGCTAAAAGAGCACACATATCGTCGGTCCGAAATCCTCATCAGATCAATTCCTGTGCTTGCTTGGGCATCCATGCATCCATGTGCACAAAGTGCTGCGCCCCAGACGTACGAAGCACCGTCTCGGATCTTTGATCGCTGCTGGGGGAAGCACCGACGTCTTCCCCACACGCTACACTGTAGGTAATAGCAGCATGGATGCCGAACCGCGAGGGGGTGCCTGGTGCAGCAGGTTAGCGCGCAAAAACGCACCACACAGTGCTTAGATTGATCCGGCGGGAGCACGCTAATCTAGACTCGTCGATGCCGCGTGCACTTTAGGCTGTGTGTGTGTGTGAGCTGCTTCAGTGGGAAATGAGTCAATCCAATCTGACATTCGTGGTTCGTGGACCCTCGATTGACATTGGTTCGCAAACGTCAACCACAAAGGTGGTCACTTTGCTCGTAGCAATCTCTTGGACACGGTCGTCAACAGAGATGCCCCTCATGCCCGAAGAAGGTCCGGCGAAAGTCGGACCTATGCAGCTGAGGGCCACGAAGTGAGGCTCATCTTGCTCGGCCAGGTTGCAGGACAGACCACGCATCTAAATCGGCGGCTTTGACGCTGCTGCAGCGATCAATCTAATTTAGATTCATCCCTCTTGCCGATGCGGGGCGGGCTACTATGAAGAGGGGAGCCGAGCGGACAGAGCTAAATGTAGCGCTTGCCTACTGTATATACAGTACACTACCTCGAAAGCGACGTTGCACACGTGCAGTGCAGTCGCGCAAAGTACCGTACTTGCCAAGCGACACTGCGGTGCTGGATGACAACATCAACCTCACCGTCGCTGCTGTGAGTCTCAAGCAGTCGCTATGTCTGATGATCCTCTCGGCTCGTGCACACTCACCAGGTTGAGCATGACAGGGGCCAGTTTGAGCATGACAGGGGCCAGGTTGAGCATGATAGGGGCCATCAAGCGCGGACCGTGAGGCTCAGCCCGGACCATGGCAGGCTCCGCGCCCTGCCGCAGGGGCCCTCCCGAAAGTGCGCACCACATTCAGTCACAGGGAGCAAGCACATCGGAGATTCGAGACATTCGCAGAGCTGGCGATGCAAGCTGCTGCTTGGCCAAACGGTCCGGTCTGTTCGAAAGCAGCAGAGACTTGTGCGAGTCCCAAGGAGCTCACCCGAATCAACGTCACAAGACACCGCCGGCGCCGCTCGAGGTGCGCGTGCGCTTACAGCATCTCGATCTTTGACAGGCGCACACGCAGCTGCATGTAGAGAGATGTCCGTACAAGCACCGAAGCTCCCTCACATTCTACGGCTGCAGTGCTCGGCCGATCACAGTCACAGAGTGGCGTGCATTGCATGTGGACCAAGCCAGAAAGCCGCTGCATGGCTGATCCTCCCCGACGTTGAGATTTGACGGGTGCGAAGCGGGTCGAGTCGACTGTGAAAAGGTTCAGGCTCTAGCAGCGAAAGGCTTGTACTGTACAGTACCTATGATGGACAACGACGACACCCTTCACTGCATCCGTTTTGACTCTCTCGTCTGCGAGCTGATGCTTGGTCGAGTGATGAGGGGCCATTCCGAATCGTGAATGTAAGTACGGCATGTTTGTGGATGCGCGGCCCGCGGTGAACAAACTTGCAGTAGCGCGCATAGACCAACGCGGGTCGAGGCGTCGCTCTCCGTTTAGCGCGGATCGACGGGACAAGCGTTCGCTAGGATCATGCATCAGCATCAGCCTTGCAGGGCATTGCTGCACGACCCTACTGCTGTTCAAGCCGCATCTCGCTTCCACAGTCAAGGACCTATACCGGTATTGTTACTACGTCTGCTTTCAGACTGCTCTACCTCTGCTCACCGGCCGGTCGCATACGACACCGGCTTGTTTCAAAGGCTTAGGGAAAACACAGCCCATCTGCCGTCTTCCAGACCACCGTCACGCTCGAGCAGCCCTAGTCTGCGCTCATGGGCAGAGCACTTATCCGCCTTCTGATGATCAAGCCCAGATGTTCCACGGAAGGACGTCGCGCATACGGACCTCGTCCTCACAGAGACCGTCGCAGAGCGTTACAATCATTTCACTTCCACACAAAGCTCTGGAGACTAGCGCTCAATGCCAAGCAGCTTGCTCCACACACACCGCTCGGCAGAAGTCGAACGCACTGGGTGTTGACGGCCCTTTAGCGCACATGCGGCAAGCAAGTGTGACCGTGTGGATGCGAAAAAGGCACCAAATATGGGTCGTACCTTCGCTCGCTCGTCGCGACACTACTGCCATTGGATCTCGTTCCAACAACTCGCTTGGTGCCTGCGAGGATGCAAGTGGCATCATGTAGGATCTCCATTCCTCGGCTGATGGCGAACCAAGACAGACAGCTCCAACACAGGTAGAGTGCTGCGCTCGTACTGTAGCTTCATGTGCAACGTGAAGCCAGACAGTCTGCCTGCTTCTTGCGCGCTGCCAAAGAGCCTTATGTGCCGCCGAGCTCGTGAGGTCGTAATTGCAGGCAACGCCTTTATTTGTAAAGCCGGTGACTTCACGCCCTGTACTGCTGAGCAAACAATCTCATGCTAGCTTCGCATCAGAGGTGGAAGACAGAGCATGCAGTCAGCGTTGCCTGTCATCTACAAATAGCACGGTGAAGTCTGAAATCTACAACTTTCTCCCTGGCCACCCCTTCCCATCCCGCTTGTTGTCCACTATAGCATAACCCTTCGCTGGGGGCGAGCACACTTCACGGTTGATCCCATCGCCTTTACTTTACCGTTTCGCATCCATCCTTATCCCTTTCTAATACTTCTGCCATGAAGGTCATTCCGGCTGCGCTGCTTGCTGCTGCTGCTGCTGCGCAGTGCGCTCTCGCTCTTCCCCACGTACAGACCATTTCTGGCAAGAGCGTTCGCGATGCCGTGAGAGCGCAGTCCAACGAGGAAGGTCACTTGCAGCTTCCTAACCCTAGGACCAACCCCGAGTACTATGCGCGACACCACGAGATGCTCGCGGCACGCTACAACAGCGGTCCCAGATTCGAGCGTCCTGCATGGGCGGACCGCTTGGTTCAAGGTCTGCACAATGCTGTCAGCAGTCTTGATACCATGGCCAGCGGCCTAGGACTGGAGTTGCTCACCGTCAGCAAGCTCTTTGCCCCTCTCCTTCCAGCTCCTCAGGGTCTCACATTCCAGTCTGATCGCTTCAGATTCGATGCAGAAGGCGAGGAGATGACTCTGAGCAACAATGCGTCTGCGCTCTTTGACCCTGCGGACTCTGGCTTCGACTATCGCAACGACAAGGTGCGAGGTGTCAACATCGGCAATTGGCTTCTCTTCGAATTGTGGATGAGTCCTTCTCTCGCCAACACTCTCAATAGCCGAGTAGAGAATGGGAATTACGGAGACATTGTTGACGAATGGACAGCAGCACAGCACATGTCTTTCAGCTCGCTTCAATCTGTTCTGACAAAGCACTACGACACCTGGTTCACGGAACAGGACATGGCTGACATTGCTGCTGCCGGCTTGAACCACGTTAGGTGAGTCTTGGAATCTTCTTGACCGTGATGTCGAAGCAAGTCTTTCGAGGTGTATCGTGAGGGGCACACCTTTCGCGATGCTCGCCTTGCACTAATCGTTGTGTATATCGCGCCTCGCAGACTCGTCATTCCATACTGGTCGTTCAAGGAAGCCGTGGGACCAAAGGCCCCTTACTACACTTTCAATCAATTCGCCAAGGCAAAGCAAGCAGTACAGTGGGCCAAGAAGTACAACCTCAAGGTGTGGATCGACTTGCACGGTGTGCCTGGATCTCAAAATGGCTACGACAATTCTGGCAGATCGGGTCCCATTCACTGGGCCAACGACCCAGACTATTATCGAAGGACCAAAGTGGCGCTGCAGAAGCTCATCGATGAATTCACTCAACCAGCTTACCGCGGCACCGTCACTGCAATTGAGCCGGTCAATGAGCCTGCAGCGAACCGTAATGGCGCCGTCAAGAATCTGATCCGGCAATACTACCCCGAAGCTAGAAACTCGATTCGCGCCGTTGGGGGTGCGAACACTCTCATGGCATTCCACGACGGCTTCCTTGGACCCAAGTATTGGGAGGGCTTCTTTACTCCGAACCAGGCCAAGCGTACCATTCTAGACGTGCATGACTACTTTGTGTACGGAGATGCTCAGAAGAACAAGAAGGATATCGCTAGGATCCGCGATGTTTGCGCGCTCGAGGGTCAGATCACCAGGTCTCAACGCTTCTACCCCACCGTGGTCGGAGAGATGGCATTCAATGGTCCTAGTGGAGACCGTGCAAGCGACCGCAACCTTCCAGTGGGACCCGTCAAGTTCCCATCCGGTCCCAACTATCCATACAGCGTGAGGTACATGGCATTCATGGCTCGCAACTCTGCCACGCAACGCTACGTGTTCGAGAAGGGATCCGGCTGGATCGCATGGTCTTGGAGAAACGATGGATCGCTCGATTGGTCGTACAAGACCGGTCTGCAGTACGGCTGGAACCCGAGGGATCTGAATGCCAAGCCATACGGCAATGACCTTTGCAACGGCTACCGTTGATCCATCTCCTGCTTCTTTCATCCTTTTCTTTGCATCGTCGGCTTGCTCCTTTTCTCTCACGCCGTTGCGTTCATTTTCTGTCCTGTCCACCGCGATTTGCCGTGTGCCCTGTACTACGGCTTGCAAATCTGCTCTTCTCGTTGCGCAAACAGGAAACCTTGCATCGAAGAGCGCCGCGCTTCACCGACTTGTGCGATAGATCGAATGTGTGAGGCATCGTTGCGAGATGCGATGCGAGTCAAAGGGTCAATCAAGCTTTGCGTCAGCGTCAGCGTCAGCGTCAGCGCATGGATCTTGATGTTGTCTGGCACGCGTGCATGCACAACAAGAGCTAATGAGTGACTTATGCAAGGTCTAGATGATTCCGCGACTGTGGGAAACGCGCTGAGCTCTAAATGCGCGAGACTGACTCGCGACTTGCGACTCGCGACTCTCGCGTGTGGATGCGATGCGATCGAACGTGCGTTGGAGAATTCAGGAAGGGGTAGCGAACGTGTTTCGTGCGCTTGACCAACCCCCCCCCT